CAGTATATTTATATTTATATTTTAGGGATGCACCGATACTGTTTTTTTGGTATTGAATACGGGTACCAAATTTTTTTTCCGGTACTCGTCGATACCAAATACCGATACCGGAAGTCCTATTAAGGAAGCCAGGCGGAATGTAAAGACTCGCCACCCAGCTTCCTGATTAGCAGGGAAGCTGTTTCCATGCTTCTAGTCACTATAGAAAGCCGGCTTTCTGGCCAATCAGGAAGCCGGGCGACGTGTAGTGACGCGGCGCCAAGCTTCCTGATTGGCCGGGAAACCAGCTCCATGTTCTCTCGTCAGCTTCCCGACCAATAAGGAAACCGGGCAGCGAGTCATTACACGCGGCCCGGCTTCCTGATTGGCCGGGAAGCTGGCTCCATGCTCCCTCATCACAAGTCTCGGCTTCCCTAAAATGTCTTTGTATGCTGTAGGATTAACGGGTATCCTTCACTGGAAACACTTGAACTCCATAAAGCTTTTGGCCATATATTGTATGTCTGTAGTAATGAGCCTACACTCCACTTTCCTTCACTGATGAATGGTTAATGTGTAGAGGTGACCCCACCATTCTAGTTATGTACCATCCAACGGATGACTGGTCTGGGAAGTAGATTGGGACACCAAGCTGTTGCCACAAAGTTGGAAGCTCACAATTGTCAAAAATGTGTTTGTACGTTGTAGCATTAACAGTGCCCTCAATGGAAACGCCTGAACTCCATAGAGCTTTTGGCCATATATTGTATGTCTGTAGTAAGAAGCCTACACTCCACTTTCCTTCACTGATTTGTCAATGTGTAGAGGTGGAGCCACCATTCTAGTTATGTACCATGGTTTTTTAGCACCATGTGGGGGGTGGGGGGGGGGGGGGGGGGGGAGTTAGGGGCACAATCATGCTAGAACAGAAAAGGGCCTTCACCAAACTGGGTTGGAATCTCACAATTGTCTATAATGTCTTTGTATGCTGTTGCACTACAAGTGCCCTTCAAAGATGTCAAGTGAAACGCGAAACATTTTTTGGGGAGAATGAGTCGTGGCTTATTCATATGTATATGGTGCCGCCCATTCATATGTAAATATCACAGTTGAGACTATTTTCAGTGGGGGGCCAGTAGCCCCTATCTTAATTTTGGTTGCCCCTGTCAACCTGACATCTTGTGTCCGGGTTTCTGCTGCCATGAAACCTGGACACAGCATTCAAAACCCAAACTGTCCGGGTGAATCCTGGACAGGTGGCAACCCTAAGCCGAGTGATACACAAATAAGATACATTGCTGTTAATAATTAAGGTACTTGAATGTATTTTTAAGATTAAACTCCTGAGTTTAGTGTCACTTTAACTCGAAATATGCATTTCCTGATAATATACTGGTTTGCCTTGAAAGGTCTTCCAGAAGACAGAAGGGAATCATGGCAGCTGGGCTTCCTATAGTATCAGGATACTGAACCTGCCAAAGTCAGGGTGACAGTGTGTCCTTCTATGGTATGAACTTATACAGTAATACATAAAATTGCTTAGCAAACATTGTCCCCAGCAGCCATCAGTCAGCGTATGTACAGTTCCTGTCCTCCACGAGCGTGTGATTTATTACCCTCCTGCCATGATAATTTGTGATGTCGGAATTGATTGAATACGAGTGTGGAAAGGCTGTTATTATTAATAAACCGGAGACGGACAGACAACTGTCCCGAGGCGTACAAGAGGGTCTGCGCTGCGTACCGAGAATTGATATTGCTTCCCCTGCATATATAATTACGCTCATGACAGCATCGACCTTTCGCTGCGCAAAAAAGAGAATTACACGCCGATTACAGAGCCGGCCGCGTATCTATCTACCTGCAGAAGCGTGACACGATAATGTGGCTTAAAGTGAAATTTACACCTTCACATCCTCCGCTGATACACTTCCTCTAGTTATTAGAGACGCCAGCCTGGGAGAGTAGGACGCGCGAAGCGCTCTGCGGAAAGAATGGCTTTGTGGATGTGTTTTTAAGCCGGTATAAAAACTAACCAAATGACTTTTATTTTATTTTAAAACAAGGACCTACATGTCAGGATCACCAACGGTGGACCATGCGTGTGTGATGAGCCTTGAAACAGCCACTTGTACTCTCCACTGGAAGCCCATGTGACAGGTTGACCACATAAAAGTACATTAGGAGACAGCAACAGAGTGTTGTCACTCTCAAACAGGAAGTGCTTGAACAAGGACCTTTGTGTCAGGATCACCAACTGTGGACAATGCCTGTGTGATGTGCATTGAAATGGCCACTTGTAGTCTCCACTTGTAGCCCATGTGACAACACAAGAGTACATTAGGAGACAGCAACAGGGTGTTGTCATCTTTAAACAGGAAGTGCCAATCAGAGGAGGACAACCTGTAATATATCTATAAGTTAACAGATGACAGCTGCTTTTATTGTCAGTATCCAGATTCCAGTAATGGCAATGGGAGCCCCTGACAGCCAATTAGAAATCAGCTTTCAGCAGCTTAGAGAATGACATATGGAAGAAGATGAATTCTGATGCTGTGACGGCTTTCACGTTTTCTTCTCACTAGAGTTTTTTTTTTTTAACTTACATTATAAGCGCCATAAATGTCATCTTTCCCTTATTATTTCCTGTGTGAGGAGTGAAGACAGACTATAGATTGGCAACCTCGGGCTACAAATATGTGTCCATGCTCTACAGAACATCACCCGCCTCGCTGCCATCGCTTATTCATTTCTCCGGGAATGCTGCCCCGTGGAGCCGGCTGACTGTCATACGTGACAGCTGGGCGGTTTGTTGGCGTGTTTCCAAATATATTTGTGGGGGGGATGTGATCAGGGGCTCCCCAACCGTGAAAATGGAGGACAATTTTCTCTTCATGGCATAGATGAAATGGGGGTAGACAAAACGAGAACAAGTCCTGGGGCCCATTCTATTGTCACTGGGGGGTCCAACTCTAACCCTGATCCACAAGGTCTTTCTCTTCTCATCTTATTGCACCAATGGCTGCATCTCATGATGTGTTTATTATCTGGAAGATACTTTGTGAGTGTTGTATGTTGATTGAGGCATTAGCGTGACTGGCAGAGGTAATTCATCACAAGAGGATGATGTGGGCTCCTTGTTATGCATTTGCGTTGAGGGGCTAGGGACAGCTACAGCATTGGCAGTGTCATTAGATGAGGCTTTATATCCAATAGACTATCTGTGCCGGTGCTTCTTACATGATGGGGAGGAATAATAATTTTCTTCTATGGTCTCTGGTCTCTATGGTATCTTACTTACATGACTGGAAATGAGATCATATCTCCCCAACAGGGATAGAAACAGCAATGAACACCTAATGAAGGTTCTAACACTACTCCTTCTATGGTCTCTATGGTATCTTGCATACATGATAGGAAGTGAGGGGAAATCTCCCCAACAGGGATATAGACAATGATGAACACCTAATGAAGGTTCTAACACTACTTCTACTATGGTATCACGCTTGCATGATAGGAAGTGAGGTAAAATCTCCCCAACAGGGATATAGACAATGATGAACACCTAATGAAGGTTCTAATACTACTTCAATGGTATCTTGCTTACATGATAAGAAGTGAGAGAAAATCTCTCCAACGGGGATAGAGACAGCAATAAACACCTATTGAAGGTTCTAATCCTACTCCTTCTATGGTCTCTAGGGTATCTTGCATACATGATAGGAAGTGAGGGGAAATCTCCCCAACAGGGCTATAGACAATAATGAACACCTAATGAAAGTTCTAACACTACTTCTACTATGGTATCACGCTTGCATGATAGGAAGTGAGGTAAAATCTCCCCAACAGGGATATAGACAATAATGAACACCTAATGAAAGTTCTAACACTACTTCTACTATGGTATCACGCTTGCATGATAGGAAGTGAGGTAAAATCTCCCCAACAGGGATATAGACAATAATGAACACCTAATGAAGGTTCTAGTACTACTTCTTCTATGGTCTCTGGTATCTTGCTCACATGATAGGAAGTGAGGGAAAATCTCTCCAACTGGGATAGAGACAGCAATAAACACCTAATGAAGGTTCTAACCCTACGTCTACTATGGTATCTTGCTTACATGATAGGAAGTGAAGGGAAATCTCTGCATGTCTCCTACAGTGATAGAAACAGCAATGGACATCTAATGAAGGTTCTAACTCTTCTCCTTCTATGGTCTCTATGGTATCTTGCTTACATGACAGGAAGTGAGGGGAAATCTCCCAACAGGGATAGAGACAACAATGAACCCCTAATGAAGGGTCTAACTCTGCTTCTACTATGGTATCTTGCTTACATGATAGGGAGTGGAGGGAAATCTCCCCATGTCTCCAACAGGGATAGAAAAAGCAATGAAGGTTCTTACTCTACTTCTTCTACGGTCTCTAAGGTATCTTGCTTACATGACAGGAAGTGAGGGGAAATCTCCCGACAGTGATAGAGACATTAATGAAAACTTAAAGAAGGTGCTAACTCTACTAGTTCTACTTCCCGCAACTGATTGGATCAGGAGGAGAAGGTGGTGATCATATTTTTGAGCAGGCTTGGGCAAATTCAGGCTAACTGGGTTCGCCCCAAGCCCAGCCTCATCTCTAATGAACGACTAAAGAAGGTTCCAACTCTACCCCACGCTGTAAAACCACTGGCTAAAATAGAGGGCGATGCCTGTACCAGGAAACTCCTGTAAAACTTCCACATACTACAGCACCTGAGGCTTCCTTTAACTGTTGTATGGTCACCAGTAATAGCTAATCAAATTCAACAAGACGTATTCAGTAATGTTGACGACGTTTCACTACTATGGCTTTCCTCAGTTCACAAGTGACTCATTTAAAGAGGAAGCTACGGTCAAGTCCAAGTCCAGCATGCATGTCATTACTACTACTAGCTATACCATGACCTGGATAAATGAAAACCTTCACAGTCATTGTATCCTCTACTTTAAAGGGTATGACATGTTACAGTGACAGAGAACTCACCTTGCTCAGAGTCAAACATCTCCACAGTGTTCACAAAGTGGGGTCGGGAGTAGAAATTGTGGGGACCAGGTTGCTGCAAGCCACCAAGACTGAAGAAAGTGCTCTCGGACATGGTGCAGCTGGCAAAGGCACGCCGGCTTGGGATGCTGGGATATCGCGTCCAGCTTTTCATCTCCAGGTCCAAAGCCTCAAAGGCGGTTACTGGAAGCTTACCCTGTCTGCCCCCTGCCAACAGAAGAGAGCATTGTAAGCAAGAGACCAACACCAATCACCAAACAATAATACAAACCATAACCGCCTCTACATTTTTAAGTGTTGAAGGGTAGAATCACCTGAGAGAGTACATATCGCCCATAGAACAGCGAGCATTCCATTGGTCGCTATGGGCAATACAGATATTTTCCACCAGTTTAAATCAATATGAGGTCTGCTGTCTTTAAAGATAACCTAAAACTAATATACTAACACAAGAGATGCAGTATAGGAGCACCACAACAATTGCTAAGAGTCTGAACGTTTTTATTTCATCATACTATATCTACAAATAACCACCCATCGAGTGTTATTGAATTATCTGCGGAAACCTGATTTCACTACAATACTCATGCTACCTTTTTGAACTTTTTGAGTACAGCATAACCCCAAGTCCAATTTAAACTAGTATTTTCAGCCCTGATGAAGGGCTGAATATACCCCCAAAGACACGTTGGATGGTTTCTCTTGGATTTACTCTGATCAAAAAAATATAAAAATAACTTAAAACAAGTCTGTCTCTTGCTTGTGGAAAGACCTAACTAATGGGCCCTGCAATAGAAGACTCTGAATACTTAGTTCTCGGGTAGGCATCAGGTCTGAACCTTGCTGTCTTCAAGCGTTACTGTAAGGTAACAACTACTTTGGCGCAGGCGCATAGTCCTGTTTTCCGTGTGACGAGCTTGCCAGATCCTTAGTTGCTGGATGATCTCCAGCTGGTTCCTTGTGTGTCAGTGATTCTGCCTTGATATCCTGTTTCCTGTGTTTGACCTGGATTGTTTCTGACCACCCCTGATTGCTGCCTGCCTCCTGACCTCTGCCTGTTTTTTGGACTTCCATCTGCCTTCTGTTTTGTACCTCGCTGCCCGGCTGGCTTTGACTCCTTGGCTTTCATTGGACCTCGCTCCTGTCTCCTGCTCCGGTACCCTGCTGCCCGTTCGGTGTGACCTTGATTTTGCTTGACCTGCTTCTGTTCCAGATCCTGGACTTTCAGCCCTGCACGGTGTCTACATCATCCTTGACACTCGTGCTACTCGTCGCCACACCTCCCCTGTTTCCATCCTCAGGGTTTAGGGACACGAGCTGCAAGGGAAGCCTCCCCAACTACCGGTCTCCGCTCAGGTACATGACAGCTACAACCTCCAACAGTATCTTCAGCAGTCAAATCTTCAGAGCTTGTTGGGTTCCTGTGTCACCCGCAGTGCACTGTGGTTCCATCTGCTGCCTCCTTTGTCACTTTAGGACACAGTAGTGACATAGGAACCTGCGAGAAGTCCCATTGAGTGCAGTGGGAGGACCAGACTTCTGACACACCAGGATATGTGTCAGATGTAAAAATACTGCTGGAGCCTTAGCGCTTGAAGACACCAGAATTTTGATTTGGCGTCCACCACAGAGGTAAGCAGAACCCCTGCTGGTTCCAGTTGTGATGAGCTGGTAGCGCTGTCACCTCTCTCATTGTCATAATTGCACCTAATTAGTGCAGGATCAGCGTCCACATAATCAGGTTGGAACGTGGGTAGTGGTAGAAGTACCTACGCACATTGGACTCCTTGGAGATTGGAGGACTGTCATGGGACTGCCTATTATGGTGAGCAGTGCCATTCCTATAAAGAGGCAGCCTAAGGCTTTTGCCTCAGGTGGTGTTTCTTAGGGTCACATGGGGGGGGGGGGCGGCATGGCCGCTCTGCTGCACAATGTGCATAATATTTACAGTGTGCCTGCTGCCCCCTTTTTGACCAGAGTGCCAGAGGTTGCTAAGAGCCGGGTGGAAAGAGGTGCAAGGGCCATACGGCTCTTAGCAACCTGGGACACTCTGGTCGGTGTCCCATCCAGCTCCAGCACATTCTACCAGCACACCCCC